CCCCAAAACCCCAAAACCCCAAAACCCCAAAACCCCTTCAGAAATATCTAAAATTGACTCAATTAATTGTAACTTAACTCATTATTCAGCAACTATGGGTTTGATCACTGCATATCTGAGGGCTGCTCAGAAGTCTCCAATCACTGCTTGTGTCTCCCAATTATCTACTACAGGGTACCTGAACTCAGAAAGATAAGGATTTTGTTCAATGAAGACCTCTAAAAATTTCTGAGCTTGGCATAGATCTTTCAGTGATGTTATATTGAGCTCGTTAAAACTATTCTTCTGCAATCAATAAGCCAGTGCTTGTGTCTTCATCATCTTAAAGTTCTCGCAAGAAAGTGTCAACTTGGTGATTATCCTCGGGTTCTTTGCTTTCAAATTTCCAACCATCTTTATTAAGGGCACCATTGTTAGGAAACTTGATCTGCATATCTCTATCTTAGTGATCAATTTCACTGGGATATTGACCTCAACTTTTCACTTAGTGTTCTCAAAGTTAGGGTTATTTCCTTGATCTTCCCTTATTTGGGCTAAAATTAGGGCAAAAATTTACTAATATGTCTCAACGATATCTTTGTATTCTTTGAATGGTCTCAAGCATGGGGCTTCTTTTGCCTCTTCAACATAATCTGGCTCAAAACTGACAAATTTTACAATATCCAAGGTAACATAGTCTTCGTGAAGGTTATTGTCAGCAAAGAGCGCATATACCTGTCCCTTTCCTTTAAGATTGAATTTAAAAGGGCCTCCTTTTATATCTCCACCGAAGTGAAGGAAGAATGAGTTATCTTCTGCCTTTGGATTTCCTAAAACATCGTCCCAACAAACTTACCAAACTCAATTTTGATATAGCTGTCTTGAGGCTTAATATACATTTCTCTAAACTCTTGGGACTCGATGAAGGCAAAATGGAAGCCAAATTTTTCCAGATTAGGACAATTTTCCTTAACTAAGTCTCTGTTATCTTTCTCGAGGACTTTCATTATATTCCAAAAAGTCCCTTGATTGACTGGGCAACACACGAATTCCCTCAATTTTTCCATCTTAGGCCAGGCTAGGTCTAGGAACAATTGTTGTACTAGCCAGCTTGTTGGGGGATAGAACACAGTAAGTATCTGCAGGTTCTCACTAAGGGCGGGGGTCTTCCGGATCTCTTTACCAAGCACAGCAAATTCTAACTCATGATGCTCTGACAGTAAAGTTTGTGCAAACTTCATGTAGCTCCCAAATTTATACCTCTGAGGTCTAATGGTGAAGTTTAGTTTCCACCACCATAATTTTAGAGAGAAAATTGTTGAATCGATCTGTTGTAAGTCAGAGTGAAATTCATCTATGCTAGTGATTAAGACGAGAGAAACTTGAGCTGCTTACCGATGTCAAGCTCTACATGACCTAAGATTTCTTTAAACATCTCATTTTTAGTCCCATTTGGATTGAATCTGATAAAATCTTTCACTACCCAAGGATTCTTTCTCCTGGAAAACTTCTTCTTTGGTCCAGTGCCTTGCCTATCAGAGGACCTATTCTGAGGTTCTGGAACCGCTCCTGATGTCTTAGAAGGCACTGCTATCTGAATCATGTTTTCAATCTCAGTTCTCTTCCCTAAATCTAACTTTTTAGTCAGATTTTCCTCGAAATTTGGAATAATGTTCTAAACCATTGAGAAAGATGTTGCCTACTTGTGTGATCAATTTAAGGAAAAATTCAACAGGCAGTGGTTGCTTTAAGTATTGATGAATATATTCAATATCAACTGAAACAGGAAGCCTCGCCAATCTATCATCAAAAATTTGCTTCAGACTCATCGACTTTGAAATCCTCAACTTGGAGTCTAGCTCTTCAGAAAGATCACTCTCTTCAAACACCTTCAAAAATTTGACAAAATCCTGACCATCAAACTCAGGGCTAAGTTCTATTCCCACTTTAAAGTACACTATCCTTCTATTCGCCACCTTCTCCAATTGTTTTCGAGTATAAACACATAAGTGGTACTTTGCATAGAGCAGTTCCATAACGCGAAGAGAATTGTAGCAAGTGGTCTGGGCGAGCTTAGAGAGGGAGGTTAAGGTACGGATAGCTTCGTCGTAGAAGAAAGCGTATTTGAAGATTCCATGGAGCAGAGCAGGATTTTCCAATATATTTGTGGGAGAAGTAGGCATTATTAACTTCAATATTTATAAAGTTTTGCGGGGTTTTGGGGTTTTGGGGTTTTGGGG